GAATTCCCCAGCCAGCATTCGCTGGCTGGGGAATTCTGGGAGTTGAAGTCCAGACATCTTCAAGTTGCTAAGGTTGAGAAACACTGCTATAGGAGCAAAGGTAGTTCCTTAAAGGACAGATCATACAAAATACCACAGATGTTTGGCATGAATTCCCCATGCAATCCAGACAAGTCCATGCTACAAATAGCAGATAGAGTATTTCCAAGAATAGAAAGAGGATTATGAAGATCCTCATCAGATAGACTTTATTTATTTATACTCAGATATTTACAGCCTTCTGAATGCCATCTGCAGTGCAGTCCTGAGGTAAAAATAGAACTGGCTATCCTGGGTTAACCGGGAAAGTGTTCCTATGCCGCACCACCTGTAAGTAAGATGGATATGAGTGCCCATTTTAGAAATTCTTCCCAAATGAGTATACGACAGTAATAGCAATAGCAGAAAACAGAATAACAGAGTTGGAAGGGACCTTGGAGGTCTTCTAGTCCAACCCCCTGCTTAGACAAGAAACCCTACACCACTTCAGACAAATGGTTATCCAACCTTTTCTTAAAAACTTCCAATGTTGGGGTATTCACAACTTCTGGAGTAGTTGATTAATTGTTCTAAGCGGTTTACAGAATCATCCCATTGCCCCCAACGATCTGGGTCCTCATTTTACTGACCTCAGAAGGATTGAAGACTGAGTGAATCTTGAGCCGGTCAGGATCCAACTCTTGGCAGTGAATGGAGTCAGCCTGCACTACTGCATTCTAACCACCACAGCTCCTAAGTTAATTGAGTAAGATAATTAAAATATTGGAAACTTATTAATTCATGGAGAGAGTGATCATATGTGAGTGGTTTGAACTTAAGGAGAGCACTCAGGCTTAAGCACATTTATTTACTGCTTTTTACAGTAAAAAGATATGCAAAGCAGATCACAATAAACCTTCACTTATAATTTTAAGACAAAATGGTAGTGAACTAGCTGGATACTAGTTGGATCACATGGTTTTGCTACGAAACCATGTGATCGGGCCAGGTCACAAGCTGAATGACTCACGTGCTGGCCACGCCCATATAAGGCAACTGGCAGTTGAAACAGAGTTCCTTTCAGGTGGGGAGGGGGAGTAGAACGTCTAACTCCATAGCATCAGAGCGTGTTAATATACTGTATATGAATATACTGTATATGAAATACTAATGATCTGATGGTCATTTCGAAAAATCCTTTCTTAGCGAGCATCTAGAAGCCAAGAGAAACATATGTGCCAAATTTCAAATTTGAAGGCATTACCGTTCTGGAGATTTCATGATGAGTGAGAGGTAGTTGGCTTTTATACATATAGATTTAAATTGAGCACAATTGAACGAACAGCAAATAAATAGGTTTGAAATTGAAGCAAAGAGGAAAACCAAAGTTTACAAGGCAAATATAAAATAATAAAGGTGATGTGCACAATTGTCTTTAACATACTATGTGAGAGTGCAACAGCCTAAATACAGTTCAGAGTAGTAGTTTGTGGTTGGGTCAGAGGATGCTGAAAGCAAGAAAGAAAAATGAGTGGGGTGGGGGGAATTTTCTCAACCCTCCCTTCCCTTAAGGCTTATCTTTATGTGTTTCTATTTTGAGCAGAATGTTTAAGATATCTGATAACAGTGAGCCTACATAGAATTCAGTTTAGTTTTGTTTCCCCCCCCCCACTCCTTTTTATGTTTGAAGACGTAAAACATATGCTTTGCAATAAAATGGATTTAGTTTTGCATATGTATTGTATGCAAATATTGAAAATATTTGTGCCAGCTTATTCTTGTTTGGCAAGGATCCACTTAGAATACTTGGACTGCAGTTCTGGGACAGTTTAAAAATGGCATTGATTAGTTGGAGTCAGTTTGGATGATAGTGATTGGGAGATAGTGATTGGGAACCAGGTCTGATGAAGAATAGCTAAAGCAGTGTTTCTCAGCCTTGGTAGCTTGAAGGTATGTGGACTTCAACTCCCAGAATTCCCTAGCCAACTTTGGGATTTCGGGAGCTGAAGTCCACACATCTTCAAGTTGCCAAGGTTGAGAAACACTGAGCTAAAGGCACTGGATATGTTAGAAGATTGAGATGAGATTGATTAGCAATCTTCAGATACCCTATTGGTTATCATATAAAGTTGAAAGTTGGCTTGTTTTGAGTTCTGGGGTTGGATCAAAACAAATAGGTTGAAACTAGAGAGAAGTAGACTTGGGTCAAATAACAGGAGGAATTTCCTGATAGATAAGACCAGGGGTCAAATGCTACTGGTTCGGACCAGGTCGTTCGAACCGGTAGCGCCGATGATCAGTTGTGCAACAATCAGCTGTGCCGCATGATTAATCGTGCAGCACAGCTGATTGTCTCACAGCGGATCGTCAGAGCTGCCAGTTCGCCCAAACCGGTAGCATTTTTTACTACTGGTTCAGGCGAACGGCATGCATGCGCACGCGAAACAAACCAGTAGCAGACTTCAGAGCATTTCACCCCTGGTTAAGACCTGCTAAGAAGTGGAATATGTTGCCCCATAGAGTTCTATGTTCCTCTTCCATGGGCATCTTCAATCAGAGGCTGAATTACCATCTGTTTGAAATACTATATAAAGATTCTGCACTAAGCGGGACATTTGATTAGAGGTCTTGTGACTTTCCACCCCAACCTATGTCTTGATTCTGTGATTGTGAAGTCTGACATATTTTGCAGGCCACCAAGTTCAGAAAAGAGGGACGCGGTGACTCAGTGGCTAAGACACTGAGCTTGTTGATCAGAAAGGTCAGCAGTTCAGCGGTTCGAATCCCTAGCGCTGCCTAACAGAGTGAGCTGCCGTTACTTGTCCCAGCTTCTGCCAACCTAGCAGTTCGAAAGCACGTAAAAATGCAAGTAGAAAAACAGGAACCACTTTGGTGGGAAGGGAACAGCGTTCCATGCGCCATTTCGGCATTTAGTCATGCCTGCCACATGACCACGGAGACGTCTTCAGACAGCGCTTAGAAACGGAGATGAGCACTGCCCCCTAGAATCAGGAACGGCTAGCACATATGTGTGAGGGGAACCTTTACCTTCCCTGAAGATTCTTTATCAGAATCTCGAGGACTGCACATAAGTGTTTCCTGGAGAACGAACAGGCGGAAGATGTTCCTCTTGCAATGAAACAGAGCTGATGCTGGGGCATCTGAACTATTTGGGGATGCTTGGCCGCAGCTGAAGTTCAGTGAATACTTTCCCATCCGATGACTCAGTGCCAAGTTCACATGAATGGGGCAAAGCTAAATAAAGCACAGCAGTGCCTTCCAACCCCCCCCCCCAACCCTCCCCAGCTGATGTTGATATTAGAGAGGCCTCGCTGGAATCAACGGCAGATATGTTATTTCAAGTCTACTTACAAGCTTTGTCTAAAGTAGTTTTCCCACCAGCGTGGACTGAATCTGGTGCAGCCCTGGGTGTGCAGACGTAGAAATGTTCATATCCATATCCATTTTGTCTGGTATCCCAGCTCAAATGTTGGCTCATCCTTAATAACTTGCTATTTTTTTTAAAAAAACAACAATTAAGAATATTGAAATTATCTCTCTCATGTTTCCATGTCATTATTAAAATTTCATGTTAGGACTGTGAGGGCTCACATGTGGTAAGCAACCAGCCCCTTCTGGATTTCTGCATATATGTACTATATATGTGAGTGTATCAAGGGTGGATTCTGGCTTCTGTTACTGCTGTTTCACTCAGGGACATGCTTCGTGCGTGCGCTTGATGCACGCTACACGCACATGAGCAGTAATAAAAAAATACTTCTGCGCAAAGTAAAAAACAATCGGGAGGTGCCTTGAATTTTCATTTTGCATAAAATGGCTACTCATCTTGTATGAAAAACTGTCATAAATCACTTTGTGCCCTTGTAACTTCAAATGGTCACTAAATAAATAGAGCAGAGCAAAGCAGAGCAGAATAGAATAGAATAACAGAGTTGGAAGGGATCTTGGAGGTCTTCTAGTCCAACCCCCTGCTTAGGCAGGAAACCCTACACCACTTCAGACAAATGGTTATCCAACATCTTCTTAAAAACTTCCAGTGTTGGAGCATTCACAACTTCCGGAGGCAAGTTGTTCCACTGATTAATTGTTCTAACTGCTGAAGTGTTTGTTGTATGTTGTAGATCACCTAAATTCTGTTAGAAAGTTTATATTTAGAGCCCATGGCCCTAATTAGAAATAAAGACAATGCTTTTCAACATGGAATGTGCAAACTAGGAGAACTGTCTTGTGAATACCTCAAGTGTCCTGGATACTAATTAGGGTACTGCAAACCTAGAATCTTAGGGTTTTTTCTTCTTCTGAAGGATTTGGCCTTGATCTTGTCACCCTTCTAGACAAAGAGTACTTGAAGGAGAAGGAGAAGCTAGAAATGGACTTGACGGCCTTGCGCCTCACCAATGAGGAGCATCGAAGACACATTGAGATCCTTGACCAGGCTCTGAACAGCGCTCAAGCCAAAGTCATCAAGCTAGAAGCAGAGGTGAGAGGTTAAATTATCTCTCATAAGCAGACGCTTGTTTTCTTTTCCTGGGATTGGTGCGGGTGGAAAATTCTCCTGATGGTGCTCAGGACGATGGGGTTGGCTTCCAATCCAAACATCAGCATTAAAGGAGATGTTTGTCTTCGGACACAGCAACACTTCTGTGCTGCCTGGAATATTTTGACTACAGAGTCTCAGATGATTTAATCACGCTTCTCAAAATCCTTTCTCAAATTCCTTCATTGTTTTGGTTGTCCTTCAGATTTCCTTTTTCTCCCTCTTTCGGTGTTTGTTCGTTTTGAGATTCAGTAATTGGACTGTGCACAATCTTTTTTAAGACTATCCCATTGGACTTAGTCATGTCTTCCAATCTGCAAGCATACGTTCTCAGCATTTATTATTGTGGCTAGAGTAACCCAAAACATAAGGGAGGCCAGAAAGTATGAAGAGCATCTGCTGGGTAATTTCCAAATCGTATTAAACCAATACAGAAATAACCCAAATCATCCAGCAAAAATCATTAAAATACATTAAAAACAATAACGTCTATTAAAACCATTAAAAAAATCTGTGAGAGTCAAATCCAATTTATCAGCAGTACAGTGTAAGCTTCACACCACACTGCTAGATCTCCGGGCAAGATGGCTAAACCAAGTCTTCAGGTTCTTCCTGAAGGCCAGAAGATGACAACCTACATGTGATGAGGCAAAGGTTAGGCTCAAGGCAGAAAAGGCTCTCTTGGGATTTCATACTATAACACCTGGTTTGCTGAACGGAAAACTGGCCAGATAATCCATAAACTATGTTCAGAGTTTAACCCAGCATCTGTGTAACTGACAATGACAACTACATCCAAAGATGCTTTACAATTAGAAAGGGAAATACCCTTATCTAGGTCTCCATTATTTCAGAAATTACATACAATAATCATTTTAATTTGCTTCCTGGCTGGAGCAGGAGATCAAGAGGGAGCTTTCACAAAGATTGAGAGGTTTAAGTTACAGTCACAAGTTAGAAAGGAGCGCCAGACTTTCCCTCCCTTTTCATGAATGTCCAGAGACTAGAATTCAGAACCGAATGGTTTGCTGTTGCTATTCCAGGAAGGCCCTGATTTATATGAGTCTTGGTGACTTGAAAATGCTGAATCAATCAATCTGTTTGTGTGTGTGTGGGGGGGGGGGTGTTCCAGCATAACTCTAGAATGCCTTGAGCAATTTCAACCAAACTTGGTACACAGATGACTTACGCTCTGGAAACAAATACTGTGTGGGAAAGACACCCCTAACACCCCTCGGGGTGTATGTTCTGTTAAGATACAGCCTGTTGTGCCTTAAAATGGCTTCTAGCATACTGCCGTAAAATGGCTTCTACTGTACAGCGCAGTGGAGTTGCCATGTTAATAACTTCACAGTACTCCAGAAGGGGGCTCCCTCTGGTAAGGGGGGAAATCCAACATTAGATCCGGGATTATTTTTGAGGATAAATGTATGGATTAGGATAAATAAATACCTGGGCAATGCCGTCTTATCACCTAGTGAACAATACACAAGCCATATTGTCATTTACATGGGGGGGGGGGAATCATTTCCAAGATCTCCAAGCTATTTTGAACCAAAAGACAAACGCTTTCACTCTTTTTCCTGCATACACAGTCTTGTATAAACATACAATCACTATTGTCAGTCTCGTATATTTTTCCCAGTAATTTTTTCTTCTGCTGCTGCTCTCATTTCCTTGCTCTGGATTGCTCTGACAATGTGGGTGGCCAGAGAGTCCTCTGCTTTGAAGGGAGCAAATTCTCGGTAGTTGGAGGCATTTCCTTAGAGACAGAATTATTCACGTTGGGGATATTGAGGTGCGCTTCTTGTATTGAATGGGAGGTCAGACAAAAATGACTTCCCATCCCTGAGTTTCTGTGGTTCTGCCTTCAGCTGCGGAAGAAGCAAACGCATGTCGAGAAGGTAGAGAAGCTCCAGCAGGCCTTGACCCAACTTCAGGCAGCCTATGAGAAGCGAGAGCAGATGGAGCATCGATTGCGTACCCGGCTGGAAAGAGAGTTGGAATCCCTGAGGCTGAAACAGGTGAGAAATTGAAGGTGGAACTTTGGTTCCCTGGAGTGATTTAAGGTGCTGTCAGATCAAAGCTCAGAATCGACTTTGTGTTTGTAATAGTTCCATACTCCAAATTATGGCTGCTGCAGCACCACCTGGTCATATGAATAATATTTGGGTGCTTGCCAATCCACGCGCCCTTACAATCGAGCATGGTATGCTGCAGCATCTCCCTGCCTATCTTTTTCCCCTTATCCTGCCCTGCTGGGTGTCTTGGGCATTCCCCCTACATGTCTGGGTTCCCACAGGTCTTGCTTTCTGCCCTACTGGGTCCCACAACCTTGTTCCCCCTTGTTCTGACCTAGGCTTCCCAAGAGCATGAAGCAAACTCCTGGTCCCGACAACCCCCCCTCCCTTTTTTAAAAAATTTACTGTGAATTCTTCTCATTCACATCCAGCAAAGTCTTTCAAAGGAGGATTTACAGTCACAGACCTTATCTGGCTTGGAGAGCTGCCAGGCCAATATCTGCAAAACTTGGCAAGGAGCCTCGGAGAGTCACAAACTAATTAAGTACAACAATTGAGGAGCAAATAATTGTAACTGTTTTAAGTTGTTCTTTAGACCACCAGTATTAGAATTGTCCATATATGGTCTGTTAATTTAGAGCTAGTATTCTAAATTATTATTTTTTTTAAAAAAACCATGGGTCTGCCTGTCTTTGTTGACTTCTGTTAATCTGCAGGTCAGAAAAATGTCTTCTAGTGGCACAGGGAAAACTGAAGAGGGGTGATATGTCCTAACAAAGCGAAATAAAAAGAAGATAAAAGATTTCACTGGGCTTGAAAGTGGCTTGGGGAAAATTGAAAAGGGTAGACATGTCCCAACAAAGAAAAGAGAGACGACAGGAATAGAGAATTGGGACAAAAGACTTGTTAGGGAAAAATCTGATATTTAGAAATTGTTATGGGGAGAATATAAAGTTGAGGCATGTGATTTACGTCTTTACATGATAATTAAACTGAGTTGCTAACTGATTGAACAGGATAATGGAAAGATAATTAAATAAAAGTTAAAATATATGAAATATTCTTTTACATGATAAATTAAACTGAGTGATTGATTGAATATGATAATGGAAAGACAATTAAATATAGGTTAAAATATAAGAAATATGAATGTATATAGAATGTTTAAGAAAATGAACAAAGTGAGGTGTGTATTGCTTGTTACTTTACGTGGTTCCACCACAAAACCGCGTTCGACTAAAGCGCGCTTGACGAAACCGCGTAGCTGACGTCATTACAGCGCGACAACAGCGCGGAGAAATAAGCACGCTGTAAACGCTAAAGCTAAAATTAACCCCTAAACCTA